AAAAAAAAAAAAAAAAAAATGAATGAAAGAGAGAAGAATAAGAACAAAAACTTGTTTAGATGAAACTTAAATAGATACTTGACAATTCTACTGAGATGTAAAACAAGTGTTTACTAAATGTTATGAAATGTAACATCAGTGCTACCTCAATTTTACCATACAATCAATAGGCATTGCTACTAAGTAGTACAAAGGGATAAAAAGTTACGAAAGATAAAAAAAATAAAAATCCAAGACTTGTTAAGAATAAAAACCGAGACTTTTAGGGAGTGATTCATTTGATATTTTGAGTGACACACTAAGACTATCAAATCCGAGACATTAAGAATTATCTTAGTTTCTTATTTTACTGAAATCCTAGGAAAATTCTAGAGGTGAGATTGGGTGATAGTTTTCGTATCCAGACAAATCATGAAAAAAGAAAAGTGAGAAAAAAATTGGATACCTCATGGCTTTTTAAGACCTTTTCATATCTCCAACTAATACCTACCTTATAATATATCAAAATGCCTTGAAATCTAATTAAGTCTAGACAAATCATAAATCCAGAAAGTGAATAAATTGGATACCTCAAAACTTTCTAAGACTTTTTAATACCAAATGAATACCTCAAGACTCTAAATTGTTTTAAAAAGTCAAAATCAAATACACCAAGATTCTTAAATTCTAAAAAAAAAAAAAAAATTAAATTAAAAAACCTCAATGAATACATAAGTTGGATAATTGACAAACTGCTTAAGTTTAGATTTTTTTTTTTTTTCCTTCGCCGATCATCATTAACGATGTTTTAATCTTTATTCAAACTCCAGTTCACCTGGAAATATATGCCATAAAGCCGGTCAAAGAATTGAAAGAATTTATTGAGCTTTTTGCGGGATTTTCCCTAAAAACATTTACAGATTAAGAAAGACAGAAAATTTCATGTAATCATTCCCAACACAGAAATTATTAAAGAAGAAAAAATGTTAGAGATGTCAACTCGCAGGGAAGCAAGGTAGTTAAAGAGTCCAATGGTAGTAGAAACAAATAAACAGACACCACCTTGTGGTGATACCTGTAACCCAACAAAGATAAGCCCACACTTCTCACTTTGAAACAATTTTAATAGAAGTTATCCACAGAACATTGGAACTCAAAAGATAGTATAAAAAAGCACAAGGGGACATATATCTACAATTATATATCCTCACCATGTCATTTATCTCTGCTTCAGCAAAAGACTTTCCATCAACGAGCATTCCCCACACAACTTTGTTGATTTGCAAGGAAATCCGCATTGCATAAGAGGGGCTTTTATTTTTCTCCTTTTCCATTAATCGTAGCTGTGCAGCTTTCTGCAAAGCTAACCTCAAAGAAGCGGATGCAGCCTTTCTAGACTTTTGTGCATTTATGAGTTCCCTTTTCAATTTTTGAACCTAAAAGTGAACTCGATTAATTCGGTCAAGAACATGGAAAAACGTAGCAGAAGAAGTGATAACAATTATCAACATGCTTGTACGATTAGAGTTCTCAAATATGTCAATAATCTTTCGTGCTACACATATTTTCAGGAAGCAATGAATCCTCATCTAACAATTAACGAATGAAATAATGGTGTGCATTTTCTGTTAAGACGCCTGCAATTTATGATTAGAAGTAGAAAAATTAGACTATAATACGAAACTCATTCACACACACCCACCCACACACCATGTTTAGCAATATAGCTATCAAAATCTTTTATTGACAACTGAGACAGGTAGGACAAACATATACTGGGAACAAATTACTGATACTAATCAATTACACAAGTATAACCTTCATCTCCTGCATCTATTGATCCACCCATCCCCCTACCCTTACTAATTTAGTATTTTTACACATGTCTCCAAAAGATTAAACCAAAATCATTGCCTTTCCACATTAAACATTATGTGTCCAAGAAAAGCAAAATTTCTACTGAAGGGAGAAAAATAAAATCATCCCAGCATATTTCTGCCTTATATTCTTCCCCAATAAGCAGCAGAAACATAGTTAATCTCCAATATCAATTACAGGGGCAGCGGTTCTAATTATTATATGGGAGGCGAAAATGGGATGTATGGGTTTACCTTGAGAAGGTCTCGTGTGTTCGCTCAATCAGGGTTAAGGCTGACCTTCCTATGAGTTTAATATATGATATATGACAAATACATGAAACCAATATGTATGCATGCACTCTTATATGCATGCATGCACTCTTAAACAAGCACACCTAGAACATAAAATTTGCACCATACACTGAGCAAAACTATCTGCAAATCATGAAACACTAGTGGCTTACCAGAGTAGACCTTCCACTAGTCACCATCCAAAGATCCGCTTCCATTTCTGCTTGTGGATCCCCAAATGTATCACCTGGCAGAGAAAGTTTCCTGATATCATAAAAAATCAATCTTTGGACCCTCTCTTTCTGTTCAAGCTCAACTTTTGCCAATTCTACTTCCTCAACACCATCAGGAACAACTTCATCCGCCTCCTCTTCAACGTCTTCGTCATCTTCGGCTGAATATGATAGGCTACTCTTGCGTGGCCTGGATCATCAACTAAATCAGTTGAAGTCCATGAAGCAGAACCAAATCCATGGAAATGCAGCTATTCTAAAGACAGTTTGTATCTAATTAATCGTCTACAATGAAATAAAATAAGGGTCACTTTCCATAAGTCAGGATAATATCACTTAAGGCCACTGCTGATGAATCGACTTTCAATTATCAGTGCATTCAGCCATTGCACCAATCATATATCTCCAGCATCCGGCTGTATGGTACTGTTAGTATTTTCTTCTTAAATATTCCACATGCATAAAATAGTTCCAACATAATTCCAACACTTGACAATATATATCTCTGACAAATACAGAGGTCGAATGCTGATCTTAAACTGAATAAGATTCTTAACTGTAGACAAGCAATCCCAATAAGATGGATTACAGTAAAAAACGCATCCAAATGCATTGTCCCTTTTACACATTTAGACTTGGCCATCATGGTCTCAAAGCCCTCGAACCGGAACCGGTCTGGATATTTGGTGGTTTTGGAACCGCGAGGTCCGGTTCCGGCTTGGACAGGCAGTGACAAGCATTTTTTTTAAAAAAAAAAAAACTCCTAACGACATGGGAGGGGTTGGGTCAACTTCGGCGGTTGGTCTTGCAACGGCTACAAAATCCAACCATTGGGAAGGTTGAAACTCACCAGTCCGGGCCCAACCTGGAGGGCCCACAACCAGACATAATATTCAAAATTTTATTTTTTACTTTTATATTTTTCGAGAGGGAAACCCAGCAGGCCCACCTGTAGCAGGTCGAGCAAGACCCACCGTTCTTTTTTTTTTTTTTTTGCTTGAACCGAAACCGACCCATGGAATGACCGGCCTACGGGCCAACGGGCCGAAACCCCGGGATTTGTGAGCCGACAAGGCCCACTAGCCATGTCTACACATTAAGGTATCTTGCAAGTAAATCCCCCTAACAAATTACTGGCAGTTGCGCATTTAAGTGAACCTGCCATTAGTGACTGAAGTTTTTAGACTTAACTTTTTTTCTTGACAAACTACTTCCCAAAGTACGAAACTGTTAATTTGATCCTTCTTTTAAAAACTCTAACATGACAAAAAGGTTTTTAACTCAATTAACAATGAATTTCGGATCGATCTTTAAAACTGACTTAGGGCTTTCGAATCCCATGACGAAACCCAACAAAATGGCGTATGATTATAGATATATGAAAGTTGATACGCCAGCAGTCGATCGACAAAGAAGGTAGGCAAAAAACTTCGGTTCACACTTTTAGAAAATCAAGATATCCGATTTTTGAACGGGAGGGTGTCATTTGAAACCTTGCAAGATGGGTTTTCTAATGAAGTCAACGGTCAAATTTTGATTAGTAGCCTAAAAAAAGGTGGATATTTGGCAACATGTTTGACTACTAATCAAAATCCGACTGTTGGATTTACCTAAGATTTATCTCGCTAGAAAACTCATCTTGTAAGATTCAAATGACACCTCTTGATAAAAAATGGGATACCTTGATTATCAAAAATTTGAACCGAAGTTTTTTCTATGCACACGTGTGTCTACCTTCTTCGTCGATCGATTACCAACGTATCAAATATCAGAAAAAACCATGCCCCTTTCGTCTCATCATGTGCTACAAAAGCCTTAAATCAATTTAAAAGACTGGTTCAACACTCATCTTTATTTGAGCTAAAAAGCACCCCAACTTTAAAATCAGCACCTCTATGGCATGCTCACCATTAAAGAAAGAAAAAAAAAAATATTGAGCATCTGATATTAAATTTCCACATTTCATTATTATTAATAATCACAATAAATGGTAGTGTCAAGGAAAAAATCCATAGAAACAAAATATTTCCCCATGACTATCCCCATCAATATGAGCTGCATATAGAGCTGTTACAACCTAATGACTATCCCCATCATATTGCAGCTCAAGATGAAAAACATGGCCATGACACTATAGAGGAAAATTTACACTATATCCCCATCATGTTCGATCTCTATGACCCAAAAGAGGAAAATTTGCACTTAGAGCTACAGCTAAAACATTTCCTCAGATATTATTACAACTAAATATAAAATTGCCCTGAATTCGCATGCAATTTTTCAAGAGAACAGAATTTTGCTGGGCCACTATAGCATTGCAAAAGCAAGAAACAATTCAAGGTCATTCTTACTTAGGAAGTCTGGCAAAGAGAAGGTTGGTCAACACATCAAGCATCACTTGGAATTGTCTGGATGTCATTGCCGCAGTAATATTATGAGAATTGAAAATAAGCTCTTTCAAGGGCTTCACCTGTTACATATATAAGCTACTATCATCATAAGGCTCCACATACCATTTTCGTTACTCATATTGAGGATGATATTAAGTTTCATTTGGCAAAAGAGCACATGTGCAACTTAAAACTTAAGGCCATACCTTTAAATCGGAAGTTCCTCCTTTATGCCTTGTGTATCTGAAGTACATGTCACACGGCATAAAAACCCTTTCCAATAAAGCTCCAGTACGCTTCACTTTTGGTGAGCTCCGACAAATCTTAGGAAGCCACTGCAATCCAGCCCCTGGATCCACATCTGTTGGAGCTACATGAGCTTGGACATGCTCCAACATAACAGAGAACTCCATGCGGTTCCATGTCATTTCAGGCTGAGTTTCAGGTACTTGGATCCTCTCTCCACCAAGTGCTTGTTCAATCACCTCATAGCCGACATGAAGAACTGAATGAAATGACCGCGCTAAAACACGACCGCTCACAGCAGCGAGCAAGAACCTACCCTGCCAACAAGGTTTTATTGTAAGTAAGAACAAGAATAGGACTGTAAGATATAATCCTGCATTTTCCTTGTTAGTAAAGTGCAACTTCCTTGCACTTTCATTACACTTTCATTGCATTTTCATAGCAGCCATTTAAGGCTGATTTTCAGCTCAAGCAATTTCTAGGAAAGCCACTAGAATAGTTGTTTTTAGTTCTTATAAATAGGGATGCAGTTTTTCATTTGTATATACACAGAAAAGCTTAATACTCAATACATTGAGTTGTTCACAATCTTCTTCTTTCATCCTAAAAGTGTTCGTTTGTACCGGAAGCATTTTTTGCTTACCTGAGCAGTGAACGAGCAGGGACTAACAAGTACAGTATAACTGGTGCTATTTGTCAACAACTTGATTGGATTCTTGTAAGCTGCTGCAGATCAAATAATCAGCTCAAAAAGGTTGAGAACAACATGCTAATAAGAAAAAAACCAAAGATGGAAAGGATCCAGATGCCTCACACTACACCACTAAATATCTCAACTCAACAGTGACCCTCAAGCGCACTGTTGGTAACTACAACTGAAAATTTGATGATGAACTTTTTGAAATATATCTACCAGTTAAGAGGGACAAATTTTTTAAGCTTCAAAATGGAAGTAAAGTACATGATAACTTTGTAGCCAACTACAGTCAACTTATGGGAGAATTCTATATATCATTAACGCACCACCATATTCCAAGCAGGATATAAAGTGTTGTCGTAACAAGACCATATCTTCACTGAAATGAGCACAGAACTTAGAAAGGTTTCTGCATTATTAAATGAATACTCTATCCTATATTGGGAATGGAAGCAGCTGTAATACAGACAATTAGCTTATGTATATTAAATTTCTCACGTCAAAGGCGGCTTCAATTGCGAGTCAGAAGTGATCATTAAGTTCATTGGTTTAAACCATCTAAGTTATACATACTTGGATTCCTTAGAAGTGCAGGACTAAAGTTGGAAAATAAATGATTAAACGAATTTATTTAGTTGAATATCTAACCTTTATCTCATATCTAATGAAAAATAAAGGGTACAACATTTCTAGTCCTTTCGCTTAAGTTTCTCCAGATAATTGCTGTCACACTCTGCACACAAGTACCAGAATGCTCAAACTTTCAGCAAGAATACATCCCTTTTTAGAACCCCATTCTACAGCACACACAGTCCACAAAATTCACCAGGAGGCCTACTGTCAAAAGTTCAAACGCAATCTCCCTGAACCTTTGATTCTCAAGGTTTGTTTTCCAATAAATTTGGGATAACTAGCATAAATGAAGTTCTAGCTTGAACTTACATTAGACTCCTCCGAATGAAGATTGAACTGTGGCTCAATAACATTCACCATGAAATGGCGTGTGCCCTCCTCCTCAGAGTCATCAATGTTCCCATATTTTGCTGCATAAGGGCACAAAAACGCGCATTGCATAAGGAAGAAGAGGTGCTGAATGTTTGAATATATGATATTTCAACAATTATGCTATGCTGATCCTGCATCCATGACTATCATATTTGCTCAGTCTACTGTAATATAAAATTTTACAACCACAGGAGAGGATAACCGGTTAAAATTAGCAAACTTATTCAAATGATTTATCAGTTTCCACTTTCTTTTTTAAGCATACATCTACGTAAGGTTTGGGTTCAAAATTCTGAAACCACACGGAAATGTGAAGGTCTTTCGTGATTATTAGAACATACAAAAGACACAACAAATGCACAAGTGGATAAATGTACAAAGTGCATACATGGATAGATATGTAGTCATTCATTGAAAAGAAATTGGCCATGATGCACAAAAGCCATATGCACGTGATTATGTGAAAATGTAAAGAGGCAGCTGGAATGTTTCTAAGCTTACCAATTGCACTAGTAATAGAATTCTCCATTGTCTCTGACTGAGAGGGAGAAGAAGGAGATTTTGAGATGTCCATGACCTGCGAAGAACTTGCACCAGCAGTGATAGATGAAGATATTTGGTCATCATTACTTTTCTGGATATCAGGTTTATCAACAGCATTGTTCTCCTCATGCAGTTTTCTTTGGGCATATTGGCGAGAAGGGGAAGGCTTTGGAGGCGCAAATGCCTTGGATAG